ACCGGGAGAGGTGCAGAAACATGTTTCCCTTCAGTGAAATCAGTTTACTCTCATATGTACGTTCTGTAAGATTTCTTTATTCTATGATAGAGGATTAGATAGAGTATAACAGACACAATAGTAGATTTCAGTCAGTTTTTAGTTCATACAGTATGTTTCTTCCTCTGATAGAAATATTAGCTACAATTATTTAACTATAAAGGATTGACAATTAAGACACTTGATTTCTTCTTCATTATAAGTTATTCTATAAAACATCTAGAACTGATCAAATTTTGTAAAGTTAATCCAGAGATTAATAAAGCAAAAATGGAAGAATGTTTAAAATAGTATAGACATGTTTATCTGCTAAATATCCATTCTCAGACCTTAGTTAATTTCTGCATTATTTGCATACTAAAAGACAGCAAGTGTAGGTTTTGAAATGTTTTTTTAATCTTAATGAGTTTTGCACATCTGTACATTTCAGTGTCATAGATTGATACTGGTTATGGCAGCCTCTACCGTGTGGTAAAAATCCGGGGTCTCCTTTATGAAAAAAGCATGTAGGATTCGTACTAAATTTCTACCTGTGCCAAACTCCTGAAAATGGAGTAGGCCCCAAACAGTCCTGATTCATAAAACTATGTGCACACACAAAAACAAGCAATCTTATAGATCACGCTGTTTCAAAGTTTGTCTGTTGGCTCTCTTTACACCTGCATTAAGCCAAAAAATGATCTATTCAAAGTACTGCATGATAGTCATAACTAGTGAGGTGTTTTTTTAATGGTCACCATGGCAAACATACCCAGAAGAGTGGAATAAGTGCAGTTTAAGAGGTAGAAATAGCCATGTTGGTGAGGAGGTCAGTCAGATGAAAATGCCAGCCACTGTAAATTAAAGGAAATACCATTAATGACGGCTGGTAGATCATCAAACACTCAGAAATCCCTTGCAGAACCTTGCTTTCAAATCCATGAGCCATTCCTACAGGCCATGAAAGTGAACAGCAGGCAGTGGCATTCATTGAACCCATTTGTAGGTATCTCTTGTTTTGTTTTTAACTATTTTTAGAAGCTGGCAAAATTACAATGCATGTGCAAAGTAGTAACATCAGCAAATTTGCTGCAGAGTCTATTTAGCTTCTAGTTGAAGCCAATAAAGGAGCTACACATTAGTGGTATTAACATTTTATTCTTCTCTTACATAGGAAAGTTTCCCTTGATCAGTGTTTCTGTGATCCCTTGTCTTCTAAAATTCCCATCTAGTCGTGGCAAAAGACTGTCCAGCAAAGCTGCCTCTGGTTCTGTGAGAGAGTTCTTTGTTTAAAAGGGAAACTTATTTGCATTGTCGGAAAAAGGGACTGTCTGACACAATTCAAATAAAGATATTTATCCTTCAGGAGAGTGTTCTGCTAGTTAATGACAGGATGCAGTCTATTGGGTATCCTTAGATTAGAAAGAAAACATTTTATTTAGTTTGTCTGCAAAATTCCTTTGATTTGACTTTAAAGCATCTTGGGATAACATTTTTTATGAATTTGTGCTATATGAGTAAATTAAATGGTAAAATGTTTTTTTTTTCTTTTGCTGAGCAATACACTTTATAGATGGAGAAATTATATTATGTTTCCAAAATAAAAATAAAAAGTAATCTACTTTTCATATATAGATGTAGGAGTGCAATTTCTATAGGTTAAAATGTATTAATGCCAAATTTGAACAATAACAATTTTGGAAATAGTTCAATAATATGACTACTACCAATAATAATATAATATCATCAATTTAGTCATTGTAGAGTAGAAACTAAATATTCACATCAAAAGCACTCAGAAGAATTTTTTTCCCCCTTTAAATATTTAGTCATGTCGTACGTGTCTTTACAGTACTCGCCAAAAGATGGCGATATAGATCTGCTTAACTGAACTAGGATTAGAGTGTCTTGACGTTAAATCTTACCAATGGATTTTCTTTTACCTGTCATCTAAATTAATCAGAGGTGTCAAGTAACAAAGTACAAATACTTTGTTACTGTACTTAAGTACACTGTTTAGGTATCTATACTTTACTCCATTAATAATTTTTTTTCCTACTTCTGACTTCTACTCATTACATTTTCACACAAGTATCTGTACTTTCTATTCCTTACATTTTTAAAACAAACTTTACTCGTTACTCTTGGCTTCGGTTTAATATATATGAACATTTATTCACGTCATGTGCGTTATCCAATGCAGATCATTGGCTCCATCCACATCTAGTGAAAACTAGTGTAATTGGAGCAGTCATATAATGTAAACACTCATTGGTTAGCTAAAGGAAATCATCAGAAGCAAGCAGGTGTTCTTCAAACTGTAGACGTGAATTGTCTATGCCATGCTACAATGTCTGATTCAGAAAAAGATGTCGAAATGTCAGAAAGGTTGGACACAGGCGAGAGCGTATCGGGAGATGGAGACCAACAAGACCTCCCTCTTCCTTGGTCATGTCTCAAAAATTTCGAAATAGTTGAAAAATTGAGCTTTCAGATTGTCATCTGGCTGTTTTTTTTAAAGGTTACTTTATACTTTTATACTTTAAGTAGTTTTTGGAGCACATACTTTTTCACTTTTACTTGAGTAAAGAGGTCAAGTTGATACTTTAACTTTTAACAGAGTGTTTTTAAACTACACTATCTATACTTCTACTTAAGTAACAAAAGTGTGTACTTTTGACACCACAGAAATTAATCAGGATTGGAAGCAGTCTTTTTTTAGAAGGGGCATTGGAGACTAAAAAGCAAATGCTAAGCGTATGAATAAACACCCTTCAATAGATGCACTCTATAAAAAAATATGTATATAGCCAAACAAGGAGTTTACATAATATAAAAAAAATCCCAGAGTTGTTTACATAAAGGCTGGGCCAATTATCTAAAAAACAAAAAAATCCTTTATAGTTCACACAATCAGTTTAATTTCAATTCAATCCTACTTCTAAAAACATATGTCCATGGTTTAGCTTAAGCCTTAAGCAATTTCTATGATCCACTAGTGGACAGTTGAGTATAACAAGTTAACTTTTCAGCAATTCCTAATAAATTAAAAAACGAAAACTCAATTTTATTAGAAAGAATCCTTCATTTGCAATCAATAAAAACAAAACAAAAATCTAACTTCAGTTACGTCTCTGTACCCTCATGGTGCTCAAACATTGGTAGTACCACTGTTGATACGTTGGTTGCCTTTAGTGATACACAGAAGGAAAAATGGCCAGTTATTTGCTATAAGCAACAACAGCCGAAAAGTAGCTGGTAAAGTAAGGTTGTTTCACTAAAAAGTGTAAAAAGAGAAAGTGTTCAGCATTTAAGAACACCCTGAAGTCTAGACAATACTGAACAAGGAGCAACTTCTAAGGCCTGGATCAGCAGTATATTTGAACCTGGATATGGGGATGACATTACACCACAGGTAAACTAAACAGTTTAGTGCAATGTCTCCAATGCATTTGATTCTCATGCTTTTTAAAGTAGGATAAGTGTCTAGTAGATATTAAGCTGTATTTAGCATAGTGTAGAATAATACAGATCAAATTTGTTGTTGCCCACTTTGAAATAGAGTAAATCAAATGAGAAATCCAATACACCAACTTCAGCGTCATTATTCATCCACACTGGCCTGCTATATTTTCATATAGCATTCTCATTCATCATATATCTCATATATCATTCTCCAATGTACTTTACTAGACATCATGGGTGGATCCCCTATAGAACTGGTCTCTGTTTATTGCCCCTGAACTGAGGATGTAATACAAAAAAAAAAAATGTAATGATGATATGCACTGGAACAGACATGGTGACTGATGGGTCCTTTGGACCAATTTCATGTTTTCTTTCAGTTCTGTTTTAATTATGACTTTAAGGTAATAGCTTCTGCCTTTTTTTTTTGACAGGATCAAAGTTTTCATCTGTTAAATGTTATTTTGAATCAAATTAAAATAAATACTCTACTTTCTAAATTAAGAAAGTAGATTTATTTAGGTTATAATTCTGATGTGATTAAAAATTGTAAATCTTATTCTTACCTGGTCAAAAATATGTAATATTGCTGAATTAGCAATTGACCCAATATTGACCTAATAAAACAAAAGCTTTGTTTTATCTTTTAGCAGCACATTAGACTTAGACAACTTTTATTGTCATTTTGTAAACACAGAGTGTACTATTTAGCAACTATTTATATAAGTTGCTTTTTACATGGTAAGGGATATTTTTACTTTTAGGGACATAAAATTACTTAAAAACACTTTCAAACCAAAAATTCTAATTTTCAATAGAAACCAAATAAACATTTGATCAAATAAGGGTGAAATTTCACTTAATTTAGTCTGTGGAGATCTTCTATGAAGATCTTTGGCTAAGAGGCTCTCTTTATAAATTTCAAATGTTATTTTTTGTTTCATGATTTTCTGAAACGTAGAACCCATATAAAAATTCACCACTGTCACCAGAGAAACCAGTAATGAGATGTTCTTCATCCGCTGACATCACTAGTCACGGATTGAGAGGCTGGCTCATAATTCTGACCTTTTTCTCAGAATTTCGCCTTTTTTCTCAAATTTCTGACTTTAATCTCAGAATTCTGACTTTTTTCTCAGAATTCTAAGATTACAGTCAGAAATTCTGAGAAAAAAAAATCATAATTCTGAGGAAAAAGTCACAATTAGGAGATTAAATTCAGAATTCTGAGGAAAAAGTCAGCATTCTGACTTTTCTACCATATTATACTGAAATAAAATTTAAAAATTAGTTCAATTTTTTTTATTTTTTCAGTGGCCCTAATCCTCTTTCGTACTATAGGCTATCCTGGGACTTTAATTAAAACTATGCAATTAAATTGGCAACATTTGCAGGATTCATTTTAACACAAGCGCTGCATTTTACAGCTGCAGTCACTCTGACTCATTCACTGTCGTAAAGCGTAATTTGGATATTTCCGAGGCGCAGTAAATGCAGCAGCAGCACTTCCTTCGCTGTTCTACAAAGATGCAGCATCGGTGCTTTTTGTATTAGGACCTGCTCTGGGATGTTTGTCGCTGAGAGGCATGTCTCATGTAAAAAGAAGAAACCGAAGGAATCGGATGATATTTTTTTGGGATTGATCAAACCGAGAGAAGAAGTTTAACTCGGAGTTTCAGTCGCTAATTAGGAAGAAGTTGGCCAATTCGGTACGTAATATGCAGACAGACCTCTCCCAAACTAACTTAGTGTTTGTTTTTGTTTATATTTTGCACATTTAAGTTATTGATTCTTATATCCGGTTTCATTAAAACCTTTGACATTTCTTTTACCCTTTTTAAAACTTTTTGTTTGTTTGTTTAAATATCAAATATCATAAATACTTAGAGGAAATAGTCAAATAAATAACATGTTGAAGTCTTAAAGTTAAAACTAGTCGGAATGCATGCAGATTAATCCGTTAGAGATGTGGATTTCTTTGAAAAAATAAAATGTTTACATTCCTCACTATGATGATGATGATGTTGGTGATTCATGCTTTACTTGAAATCAGACGCACCAAAAGCCGCGCGCTGAAGTTTCAGTCAGATAACTGCTGTTTGCTTTTCTGACAAAACTCTTGCAGTTACATGGACTTTGCTCAGATGCTGCCGGGTGGGTTTTTTTCGCCTCATATGAGCCATCTGAATAATCCCAATCCTGGTTCCGTTTCCTCCTCTCCTGCATCCTTTCCTCCCCCATGGTGCAAGTACTCTTTCTCTGCAAACCCAATTGTTATTTCTAATGGGCACCCCAGTGGGATGGTTAAGTTTTAAATGCAAGCTCCCTTAGGTCAGTAACTCTCACCGACCAGCAGCTAAAGAAGAATGAGGACAATATTAATCAATTGCTGCTGAAAAGTTCCATGCTGTGCGTCTTTGACCTCGTTTGACCTCTTGCACAATAAGTCTCAACTTAATTTCTTATAAAAGTTCCCTGAACACAACATTTCAATAGGTGATCCAGACAGGAAGCTGCACAAGTGTGTCTTGGATCTCAGAGTGGGTCTTTGGTTCCTTCTTCCACAGTGCTGGAAGACTGTGATAAAATCACCACAGTTGCAGAAGGCTAGGGCGGTTTCTTCTTTCTGTGGAGACATTATAATTTAAAACCTTGCAATAGAGTCTTTTCTAAGCCTTGTTCTTTGTCCTGACGCTGAGGGACAGTTGCAGCAGACCTCTTTTACAACCTGCTGCTAAGGCTGTTCTGCAAGATTTATAGGCAGACATTAAACATATTTCAAACAGCCATTCAGAAGTAGTTTTTTTTTCGCTACACCAGTATATAAAAGTCAGCTGGGTTTTAATGAAAGATTTCAAAAAAATGCAGAAGTTTAAGTGATTTATTTTTTTGTGAATTTAGGTGGATGAAAACAAAATCCACATGAATGGACTGATTGGTTTCATTTGTAAACAACAGATTTTATACTTGTGGTTTTTCTTGTTCATAAACTGATTCCATGTTTTATTGTTGCTAAACTTTTCTGAAATCTACACAGTCTGCCTGCGTACGGCTCAAACATTTAGCTATAACCATGTGGAATGTAAGTAAAAACCTTTTAAAGGAGGAAGCTGATTAAAAACAGAGGGGAATAAAAAAAACAACAACAACTCAAAACAGCTCGGATGAAGCTTGATTTATAAAGGATAGATTTAAACAAAAAAAGTCCTGGATGATTAATGATTTGCAGCAAAATATTCAAACAAACAAAGCAAAAAAAAAACATGCATAGAAAATTGTTAAAAAGGTCCCAAACAAAATTTGGTGTAATGTTCCTTTAAATGGGTACACCCGAGTTCTATTTGAAGACATGTTGTCTAATTTTACCCAGCAGTCCTGTCCTCTCCCCCCAGTCCAAACTGTGCAAAGCATGAATGGAGGAACTCTTTCCTTCTGGATGTCTACCGCTCATAATTTTGAGAAGTTTGAAATCTTCACTTGTCACTTATTCACACAGATGGCGCTTTCCAAGCTCACATGCAAGGTATGCACGTTGTGTTTGTTGCATGTTTCAGTCAGAGTAGAGGAGTGTGTTATTTCTCCCTATTCTCTGCAGTGGGAAACAATTATTCTCCCATTAAAGGCTATTTTGGCTGTTGAAATGTATGTGTACCATCTGGGCTGTATGCCCCCTGGCTGTTCATTTGGCTGGATCACCGCTTGCTGGCGTGTTTAGAAATGCATTGGATAAAAATAAGAGGTTTGTTGTGTGTCTGTCTGAATGAGGGTTGGACCAGGGTCTTTTGTCAACTTGGTGGATTTATTTGAGATGAAGAGTGGCCTTTATGGCACTTTGTTTTCTTAAGAGAATGAAAAGCTGTTGGTCTCTTAAAGGCTGCATGTCAGAGGACAAACTGCAGGAGTAATGTGGGAAAAGAGGGCACTCAAAAAAAAGCTTTTAGATGGGATAACAAAGGGGTCACACAAGATAAACAGCCCACCAGTTCTGATTAAAATAAAAAATGTTGGGAGCAGATTATCATTCAATAAAATCAGTATCAGCCAATCACTGATCACAGTACGGAATCCATAAATTCTTCAATTTATTGAGACAAGTATAAAAATTAGGAGATAAGAAAGTATCATGAATTGACCCCTGCTTTAGTGAAAGTGCACAGTAGATACAGTTTTTTTTTTTTTTTTTTATATATATATATATATATATATCAAAATGTAAAATATTGTTGAGAAATGATGAAGTGGGGAATGTTCTTTGGGCGTCTGTGTGTGCCTTCTAAAAAAAACTGTTAAAATTTAGCTCTAGACGGACCGTCTGTCTGCGTACCTCCAGTCGGCGACCAGCTGCTGCCTTATCTGCCCCTGCTTTGCCGCTCTGTCTACCCGGCAGCTCCTCTGATCCAGATCCCCCCTCAACTTCCAGCAGGCCTGAAGTGAAGAGGCCTCTGCCTCTTCCTGCTCTGTCTACCTGCCTGACTTCTCCGATGTACCGCTGTCCTCCTCCTGGCCAGCCGTAGCCCCTGTCCCCTGTCTGCTTGGAAGACTTATCCATCTACAACCATCCTGCTTCAATCCTCCACAGTTAGCCTCTATAGCTAGCCCAAGCCAACCATAGTCTCTCCCCTTCCTTCAATGCTCTTTTTGTCTGACAGGCTTCTCCAATCTACTGCTCTGCTCCTCAGCTCTCCTGCTAAACTAGCACTGGCAGGCTGCCACCTCTACCGCTGTGGTTCCTTAGCTCCAGAAGGGGGGGCACAGCTGCACGTCTCTCTTAGCAACTGCTCCTGTCTGAGGTCCAAAATATAAAAAAAGAAAAAAGAAATAAAAAAAAGTGGGGGAGGTGATGACCTAGAGGTTAGAGCAGAGCACTTGTGCTCTGAGAAGGTTACAAGTACCTGGTTCGATCCCCACAGCCTCCACTTTTGGTCCCTGAGCAAGACCCTTAACTGTACACTGCTCCCCAAGGGGATGGGTTGAATGCAGAGGTACATTCTCTATAGTGTGAGATTAATAAAGTTCAATTATAAACGCTGCCTCACCCTACTTCTGCTGTCAGGGTGATTCGTCTCCTTGCTATGGGCACTCCAACCAAAATAAACATGGACCAAGCGCAGGAGAAAGATGCGTGTCCACTCAGAGGAAAAACTCACAAAAAACGCAACGACCACCACTTGAAATCAGTTGTCTTCATAATGACTGGCTGGTCCTGGGAGATCATGTAAAAATCTGCCAATATTCGAGCATTGCTGACCAACCCCTGCAAATCTAATATTCTTTCGTTTGTATAAATATGCATCCTGACCAATGGTGTCTCAGAGATGTTCAAGCTGTAATGAGTGACTGTCTGTTGACGCTCATACTTCCAGTGTCCCATAGGACATGATGTGAGATAAAAGAGAAGGGAACAGGTTGTGACTTTCTTTAGTGTCAATCAGTTTAGGAATTTGGATTTAAAACAACAACAAAAAAAAAAATTATTGCGAGGATTTCTTTTAAAATACTAATTTAAATGGAAATCAATACAGGCACTTAAACGACATGCTGAAGTTCACCGCAAGAGTCAAATGCATTGTAAAGTGAAATGAGAGAAATGAACAAACACAGTATTTAACAATAGTATTGCATACACAGGGATTCCTACTATCGTGCAGTTTAACACTAGACTCTGTAAAAGGGAAAGTGAACAAAAAATTGGAGAAGTCTTCTTTGTACTTTAATTATATTTGGTAATAGTAATGGATCAGGTTTTAGCATTATGGAAGGTAACTAGTAACAAAAAAGTACTATTGAAATTTCATATGTAGTGTGGACACTACTGCGACCCTGCACATATTTTACAGAAAATGATTGAGTACCTTAGCCACGTTTTTTAATTATAAGTAAATAAGAACTTTATAGAAAAGGGGTGCAGAAGAAACCCGTTGTTGATTCTTAATAGTTCCAGTTTCCATATGTTTGTCTAATTTTGGCCACATCCTTATTTTGTAGTCTGCGTAACTTCCTGAAGAGACGAAGAAAATGACATGTCTGAGCTCGAAGAGAAGTTGTGTTTTCCTCTTTAAATATTTTGGCTTCTTTCACTTTATTTATTATCTACTTTGGTGGTAAGAACATCTCCAGATATCATTGTATGTCTGAATAGTATGAGGATCTAAAGGACTTATTTCCCACCATATGTCAAGTTGAAGATTTTGCTTTAAGAGAAATGTTCCTACTAGTGTATTTTGCTTGAGTGATGCTTTTAATGTGTGATGACGGCTCTATTTCTGCTTGATCTGCTTCAGAGACGTATCTCTGCTAGCATCTTTTCCCCTAAATCATCTGTTTATTTTGGATAAATGGCAATTCAGTCCTTGACGCCAAGATCTGTGCAAGGACTGTGAAATAGAAAAACAAGGAAATGTATCGCCTCATCTTATGAAGGGATCCTTTGACCTTCCTTTTGTTTGTAACAATCAGACTGGCTTTTTGGCATCTGTCTTTAATTGGGGCAGGTTAAAAATTCCCATGTGGGGAGGTTCAAGCTGTGGGTAATGCAGTCATCAACTGTGGGAACCAAAACCTCTCCATTTGTGTGAAACGGTATTTAGTTCAGACACAGGTGGTCAGCCAGGCATGAACGTGTGGCTGTATCTAGTGTTTTCTTTAGGATTTGCGATTTAGATTCTACCCCCTCCCTTGGAAAGCATGCATTTACAATGAGTCAGTAGCAGCCATAAATGTACCTTTGTCTGAAATGTGCACTGGTCGTCATGTAATGCAATTTAAAACATTTAATTTTATGCCACTGGTTGGGTTTGCTTCATAGAGTCTTTAATAAGTGTGAAAGATTGTTTGGACACCCAGGCGTCTGTGGTGTTCTAGGTCTAGGTCTGAGCTCATTATTCCCAGTCTAATGTGTCACAAACCAGAGACAGATAAGCATAGTTTAGGTCATTAGTACAGGACAGCTAAGAGGTTAGTGTAGGAGGGATTAACATGTCTTTTATTATGTCACTACTCACTGAGATAAGTTTAAGCCAGTTTTTCAGTATCTTTCCAGCTTTCTTTTTTTCACAAGCTAACCAAGGTATTTAAAAATCCTTGAGCCTTAGAGTATGAAGCATGGGCTTTGGTCTAGGGTCCTACATCTTTTAGATGTGTCTGTTTACAATCCAAAAAAGTTAATAAAACAATCCACTGGACTTTGTTTCCAAGTTTGAAGACATTTCAATTCCCTTCCAGGAAGCCTTTTCAATTTAATTCCAATTTTAATTTTGAATTGAAAAAGCTTCCTAGATCAGAAGTGAAATGTCTTCAAACTTGGAAACAAAGTCCAGGGGATTTTTTTCTTTTTTCTGAATGACTATGACCTGGATGCAGGGGCGGATCTAGAAAAATATTTATGGGGTGGCGAGAGGGGGGCAGGAATTTTTGAGGGGTGGCAACATATGGCATTTGTTTACACTGAATTTAATCACAGTTATCACAGTTTGGTGTTTCATGTGAAACAGTTCATATTAGTAATACATGGTACAATGTGATCTCACTTAATAGGAGATAGAAGAATGATAACACTACTTCTAGAGGGGCATTATCACAGGAAAGGTATTGAGGTAAGACACAGGTGCAGATTTGCAAATAAGTGAGATTGACTGTCAGAGAGGCAGCTTTGTAGCATTTGCACAAGAAGGAACTATAGAAAGAAAAAGTTACCCATCAGAGATCTATGGACTGAGCTGTACTAAAGTGAGCATTACTACACAGTAGAAATAAATGGGTCAAGGCACCCAAACAAGGTACCAGACATCTATGTATTGTTTACTCTGAACCAGAGATGGCAAAAGTACTTACTTTCCGTACTTGAGTAAAAGTACAGATACTTGTGTTAAAAAATACTCTGGTAAAAGTGGAAGTACTGATTAAACTTCTTTACTCAAGTAAAAGTAACAAAGTACAGGCTTGTAAATTTACTGAAAGTATAAAAGTAAAAGTAGAAACCACTTTTTTGATGCAGTTGCCTACATTTTAAATGGATGTCTGCCAATAGGACTAGATCTCTGTTGTGTTCATTTTCAATCATCTCGTCGTCCATACTACTATGCTAACGCCACCAAGCTGCAATGATTACCACCGAATCTGTCGATTCATCTTGTAGTGGTGCGTCAAATGCAACGTAGATTCCCATCCAATTAGATTGAATTTGGTATTGATGACGTGAAAAATAATAACGGTAACTCCATTGAAATGATTCAAAACTAAAGTAATGAGCCAATATTTTAAAATGTAAGGAGTAGAAAGTACAGATATTTGTGTAAAAATGTAAGGAGTAGAAGTAAAAAGTCGCCATAAAAATAAGTAGTAAAGTAAAAATATCAGAAAAATCTACTTGAGTACAGTAACGAAGTATTTGTACTTCGTTACTTCCCATCTCTGCTCTGAACACACATTTACCCCATTTGTTCCTCAGTAACTTGACATACAGCAGTTAAGGCAACATGAAAGGGACATTTCATGCATGTAAATATGCTGTAGATAGAGCTGCTGTATCAACAAATCAACAAAAGGCAGGTACTGTATGTTACATCAAAATCTCCACAAATCTGAAAAGAAGCAACATAAAAATACATTTTGCTTCCAGTCTGAAAAAGTACAAAACATTTTGTGAGTAGGTTCATACAGGTCATTTCTGGATAGTTTCATACTATATATACAAAAAAAGAAACAACAACACTGCTTCATATTAAGCAGGATTTACACCAGTATCACATTTTTAACTTTACTTTTAACACTTTTGGTTTTATTAAAGGAAATATCAGATTTTCTCAGGTGCCAAAACAAAATGTAGCAGCTCTGTAAAGGCTCACCAGAGAGCATAGCATAAAGTTACCTTGACTATAACAGCTGAATGCGGTGAATTCCATGTTACTCAGCAAAATGCTTCACAGATTTATTTAGATCCAAATTTGTGCGTTTTGATATGAGTACCACAAAACTTGATACTCTCTTTTCTGTCATAGTTGACCGCAAATATGTCTTTATGAGCCTGAGACGTCAGGCCTAACTAACATCATAGATAGAGAAATAACGTTCTGCAACCTGATTTTTATCATCTCAAAATCAGCATTGCAGCTATGCTAGCAACATTGTGCTTTCATTATAATTTAATTTCTCGATAGTTAATCAGTTTTTACCTGTTTCATCCCATGTCTCCTCTCCCCATGACCCCTGGCTCCCTCGCTTTGCCCCATTCGGTTTTCAAAACAAATCAGTCGCTCTCGCGTCATCTCGTGCTGCATTCACTGCAGTCCGACATTGGAAATTACTGGTCTTAATTCTCAAATTATCCATAATTTATAAGCCTCGCCATCCCTACAACCAACTGGGGTGGCAGCAGGGGTGGCAAGGCTGTCATTTAGGGTGGCATTTGCCACCCTATGCCACCCCAGTAGATCCGCCTATGCCTGGATGACTGAGCATCTTAACCAGCATACTGTCTGCTTACACCTGAGTCAAATTTCTGAAAGAATAATGCAATTTTTTTCATCCTAACAATAAAGACAGGGACTTTTGACTCAAGCAGTGATCCTAATGTTCACTCCTTGACTTGCATCCCTGCATTCCTGCACATCTTAATTGGTGAACCTCCTGGCAGCGGGTTTGTGTTGGCCTCAGCTGGCCTCAGCTGGCCTGGCTGTCAACTCGGTACTGTGCCTAGCAGATCCAATTGGAACAATGTCCTTCCTAATCCCTGAAGAATTCCTGCTCTCCTCAGATCTGTCTGGCTCAAGAATGTGGCATCTGAAAAGGCCTCAGGGCTCACACAGAATCGCAAAGGAACAAGTTCTCATGTGGTGCATTAATTGGCTGTCAGGAGAGGGGAAGCTGTGAGAAAGTAGCAGCACAGTGACTCTAGAAGGATACAGCTCATACCTTACATAGCCACACTGAGGGACAGGAGAGTACTTGCCTCATGAGTTAAACCCATAATTCTTCCATTTTGATCTTAGTCCAAAAAAAGAAAATAAATAAATGCTAATTTTATGCCAGAAATATTGTACGGAGTGTTTTTAATTTGTGAAACAATAGTTTTCAACCTAATTAGAAGAAAAATAGATCTAAAAATAAAACTTGTATTGTTCATGTTATTCTGGTAGGAAAAAGGCCTATTCCATAAAAAAAAAAAACTTTAAAAACGGATACAACCACCATTTGTTGTTATATGTTTATTTAAAAACTTGAGGCAATTCTTAACCATGTTTAGTTATTAAAAACATTCTAGAGAGTCCAAAAGTCAATTTGTGACCCCTGAATCACAGGTTACAGAGCCCCTATTAATGTGCATTACTTTTTTAACTAATTAATGCAAGATTAAATGTATTTGTTTATTCTATAGCAGTAGGTTGCATATTTTCATTTGATCTGTAAATACTTGATAATTTTGTAAAACCGGTTGTTTCTGAATCAAGAAAAGGTTCTGAAGTTTAAGCAGCACGCACTTTGCTGCAGACAAGTCTCTTGTTTTTTGTTTTTTTTACTGAAACTTCAATTGGACTCCATTCTGGTCTTTCCACACTGATTAGCATCAGCTTATATCAGCTTTTCCTTTACTTACTTCTTTCACAGCTTCACTTTGCATTACACAATGACGAGTCGGAGCCAACACAGAGCAGCAAGCAGTGGAATGGGAAGAATTTCCCATTTATATAAGACCACAGCTCACTGTGTGCAGTCCACAGAGAAGAAGAGTCCTTTGACTAAATAATTCTGTTGTAGATAACTCAACAGAGTTACAATGATAAACATTGTTGCTTCCTATTTACAGCACATCCTGCAATGAAATGTCTGGATCATGTCTGAATATTTGTGCTTGCCTTTGTCAACTCCAGAGGCCTGTGTGCCATGCCAGAGGGGTCCCATTCTGCTCTCCACCAGGGGCCAATGGGGGAAGGTAAGATCAGAGGAATACTATTACTATTACACTGTGGTAGATCTGTTACACTCCTGCAAAAGTAGTTCATTTTGTCATATTTTAACCACAAATATCAATGAATGGTAGTTTGAGAAAACTACATTTGCTGAGGTTATGGCTATAATTATTTTATGCAATGTTTCTACCAGCTTTACGCATCTACTTACAATAGTTTTATAGTTCTAGTTGTAAGTCACGCTTGTTTACATGCCAAGTTTTCTTTTTTTATTTTGGTCACATAATTTCCTAAAAACAAAACAAAAATTATAATAATATAAAGAATTTGTATCCATTTACACTGCTTAATTAATTGGAGGGTGCAACTTTACACTGTGCTTATTTTTTGTAGGCTATGTGAAATATTCAAATTTGTATTTGAAAAACTGCAAAAAGGTTCAGAGATTTTTTTTTAAACAAAATTATCCTAAAAAAAAACATGTTGTACATCAGCCACACATTTACATGCTGATGATGGTAAGATTTAGGGGTGCCTAATACAATTAATTTCTGATATGAGACCGATTTTGCAGCTTTAGACATCTGACTGATAACGATACTGACCCATTACAATATTAGCACAAATCATTCATGCTTTTATTAATTATTTTTTACTGTAGAATGTAGAAAAGGCTTGACCAGGTGATATGATGGAAAAGGAGAACAATAGTCAACAACAATAGGTATGAGAACAGCTGACCCATGTAATATTAACCAATGAGTTTTACACATTTTTAACAAAAGCGGAGTGTTTCTATCACTGTGCCAATATCTATTTTATTTATAGGACGATATAATCCGAAATCAGTTTTTTTCTATTATAGGACCAATATTCAGTATTAATATCTGATCAGGACACTTTTAGGAAGCATTGTAGCCACAGCTGACCTGGGGGCAGCCTGAAGAAGCTGCCAAACGATCAACACCACCTGGTGCTATAAAACAGTTTATAGGCATTTTTTATCAATTGTATCCTATTAAAGCTGTCGTATAAACATTACTATAGCTTCCTTAATATGAACCTGTTGCTATAGATTTTAAAAGCCCCCAAATGAAAAAAAAAATAATACATGAATTAAATGTATAAGAAAATACATTAACTGTCATTGTATCTGATAGAGGTTACCAGGGTAGCTGAGCACAAAAGTGAACGAACCTCCTTTGTATTTAAACTTAGAACTAGAACACATGTATGTTGGATTTCCCTTCCCCAGATGACCTAAATGCAAAACCCTATAAAATCTTCACATCTCTAAAGATCTCTCTCCGGTTACATCCCACTTTGATAACCAGAGAATAAACCATAGTTGCTCTAGTTGTAGGTTTAGATGTATAAATGCTTAATACTTTATTAAGGGTTGTTTGGGGGAAGGTTTCTTATTTCCTGCTAATAACATTCCCACAGCATGATGCTGCCACCACCATGTTTGACTGCTTGCTACTAAACAGCCATTGAACAGCTTTTCTGATCAAGAGTATAGATCTCATCACAGTTGGGCAGTAAAGTGTCAAACTATAGAAAACCAAATACAAATAAATGCCACACTTCTCAGCTTTTTATATAAGAAACAGTGATAAAATGTCCTTACAGCTCACAGTTTGGTGTTTATCTACCCAATAAAAGTCTGATAAAACACATTAAGGTCGTAATGGACCAATGTTCCATAAATTTTATGATAACAACTTATGACTGATGATGAGTACAGTATCTGGTTCCCGTAGCATACTTTGCTAATCTAAAATACCCTCTGAAGCAGACCTAAAGGGAAAAATAAAACTATGGAAAAGGGAAGAAGAGAGGATATATTGAGACTTTGAGAGGCAGCCAGAAAGAGCAATGAACTCCCATCCTACACTCCCAGCTGGCAAAGAGGCCCTTTGTGTAGCTGTATGGAGTACAGCCAATCTCCCATCATACTGTAACCCCCTGAACATGAGCACATAGACCCGAAACATGTCAGAACTCCTGACAGCCATGCTGGTTTGTCTAACAAGTGGGGTTGACCTTGTATGCTGGAGGCCACTCAGTCGACATATTATTTTAGAGTTTAGAATCTCAGTCACAGGACCACTGCATTGACACAGGACCCCTTTGTATCTGTTTGCTTGCTCCGTCCTTCAACTCCCCATCTCCCCCTCCCCTTGCCTCTGCTGTGTACATTCGGCACCGGCCCTCCACTTTGGCTGAAGAATACCAGTGCGTCAATGGGAGCTTTCTGTTCCCCCTACGCCTGTCCTTTTGCTTCAGCTGTAGCCAGAAGAGGCTTTTGGCGAGAAGAGACGTGTGCCGCCCTCATGCAAATTTCGTCTCGATTTCCTCTAAAGGCTATGCCCAACAAATTCATTTCTTTTGCAGCTTGTGTGTCTGCTAGAGACAGAAGAGCTCACTTGCAGCCCTAACCTTTTCTTTCTGTTGAAGTGACAGACTAAGCTAAACTCCTTGCAATGATGGAGTGATGCTAACTTTGGAGCAGAGCTGTTAGTAATGTGCTCTCTAAGAGAAGTGATGATTGGATGTAGTTACAGGAGAGAGGACCGCATGAGAACACCCCCCTTCAGAACGTGTCCACAATCCAGCTACAAATTAAATAAGGTTGTGGGTTAAATGATGGTGGCTCTACTAAGCGATAGCTGCATCAAAAGACACTCTTAAAGATAAGGCTCCTCTCTGACCTGCTTAACCCCAAACAGGAATGTAGCTGCGTGTGCAGAACGTGCAGCCAGGGGTTCTGGGGGTGGATGGATGGATCATCTCCATTCACAGCAGCTTTTCCAGACCAGTGGACATGAGATTTAGGACCTATATCGATGTTGGCAGGGATGGCTGCGTCCCTCCAAGGGGGCTTTGCTATCTAGAACTCTTCTTCATGTACCGTCAGGTCGCTTTAGGTGGAAATTTATTGACTCCCGTTAATGAAGATTGGTCTGTGTAAATGATTAAAGGATAACCATGTATTCAGGTCCATCCACCTTCCAAGTGATCCATCTGACCAACTGCCATGAAAAGCATCACCTCATGACCATGAAGCCTTAACCTTTGCCACTTTTCTACAATGGCGAGATGTGTTCTGTATAGACTGTCCAGCCTGAGCTGTAATATCTCTCTTTCAGTTTCAAGTTGTATAATGTTTTTCTTACAGATTTAGCAGTGGTGTGTGGGAGGTTTAACTTTAGATATTGTTGTATAACCTAACTCTGCTTTAGATTTTATCTCTTGCCTCTCTGTGATGCTCCTTGGCTCTCATGATGCTGTTTGTTCTCTGTAAGTTGGTATACATCTCCAGTTATAACAGAACAGCATAGTCTAAGCAGAGTTTAAATCAGACACAGAAGGTTTGATCATTAGAATAATGTTTCCAGCTGTTTGCATTGGACTCTATTATTTTATCCATTAAAAGGGACTGCATATAAATACAAGCCATATTTTCATTTCATTTTTTTTTTTTTTAAAGTGTGTTCCTAAATACTCTGCCCTTTTTGTTGTTTTCAGTTTACACATTTCTAATTAATAAAGTTTTTAGGCAGATGTTGGAAAAAGTGGATTTGTTTTATAAAGTTTTTATGATTTTGTTAAAACCATGTTCTGGCCGGATGGATATCATAATTTAAAGTTATAACTAGGGCTGAAAAGTTAATTGGATTAATCTTGATTAAGCGGTTATTGAAATAATCGTCAACTATGGAGCTAGATCTCAGTTTTCACAAATACACATATGTGATTCATACATGCACACAAGATCCACACATGCACAGAACGAGATTCACCAAAGTATTTCTGGTTCATAAAAAGTTATATATTAAATTACAAAGTACCAGTGGTCTTTAAATTTCACTGCATTTGTGTGTGGATTTTTGAGACTCCCTTGAAATGCCTCGATACACAAATGCATTTTTTTAAACGGGATGGTTTGTGCTTGTGTGAATCATGCTGTGCATCTGTGGATCTTGTCCTGTTCTTGATGAATCACATATGTGTATTTATGTAAAATTAGACTGATCTAGCTCAACATCAACTAATTTAGTAATCAATTAATGGTTACTTGGAGTTTAGAGACACTAAAACGGGCCTGTAGCTTACAGAACAACCAACCTTGAAAAGCAAATATACCAAAATAAAAATAAAAAATAATAATGAAAACATATTGTATATACGATAGAAAATAATTTTGCTATCCGATTAGTAATCAATTAAACGACAAAATTATAGACAGATTAATTGATTTGCAAGATAATCGTTAGTTGCAGCCCTAGTTATAATCTATTCCAATGCCGCTAATGTGAATCCATTGTGTGACTCAGACACCTAAATCACTGGCAAAAGAAAGGATAACAATAAATGTTTATTATTTTACAGCCTTCAATGGTAGCTTTTCTTTCAAAGGGATCTTCTGGTGAATTACCCACATTAGTTGTAGGCCGTCTCTGAAATCATCTCTGAAACTTTCTCTGCAACATTTTGCATTTTATGAGCGATATTGTCTGTGAATCCATAGTAATATAGCAGGAGTCATTTTAGACTATTTTATCAATATTTTGTTTCCTAAAAGGCTTTAGAGCAATATGCGATAATGCTTATTCGAAAGTTATGAACTATAAATGTCTCAAAGAGCTAAAAAGCATAAGAAACAAACTTTCCCACCCAGTATATTGCTGCATGTGATAAGAGTTGGATAGATGTGAAAATGAACGGGTCCTCCCTGAGCTTTCACACTTTACTTACAGCAGACTCAGCAGAGAGCTACTAGATGCTGAGCTAATTGGGGGCAGACTGACAAATTGGTGATAGTGTTTGCAGAAGTGTGTATTGTCCAAAGGAAATGGGAGTTTTCAGTCTGGCCTGGCTTCCAGCGAGCGAGTGCCTGAAGAGATTTTGGAGGGGATGAGGGCAGGGGGGTATTGTTGATAGAGAAGTCTGTAAAGTGGATCATCACATGCCTATGCTCTGAGGTCAGCTGGCACGGCTGGATCCTTTAAGAGGCAGA